ACCGAAGTCCGTCAGCATGTCATCAAGCACGGTAAGTTCTCATCAACTCTGCCCATTACATACGCAGACCACTAACAATCCGAACAGAGGCATACCTGCGTACTCGCCCCGACGCCAGCTTTGACCGTAACGACTTTGACTGCTTGTCGAACAAGTTCTTGTCAAAGCTCGTGATCCGCGCCAACTGATTGTCCTCTACTGTGCTATTATTATTGCTGCCATATTTTTTTCCTTCTTGAGATTATGATTTTTTTGAAAAGCCCCTGGGTGGGCAAATTTGGTTGGCATCTCTTTTGTTATTTCGAGTCACAGCGACGGCGTTGAACGAGACACCACACACACAAACACACACAAGATCTCTACCCGACCTCTTCACTTCACTTCTTTTCGGCTGGTCACCTCCCCACCACGACGATTCATCGCGATGTGTTACGACCTTTTATCATGATTCAAATTACGAATGTATGACTCGAAGCTAAACGGGGTTGGTGGTCTGGAGTCGAGCGCAGGCGAGAAGGGCTGCGCTGCGGCAAAGAGAGACGCGACATGCGCCAGGGACGTTCATGGAGACGATCATGCCGGCACGACAGGCAAATGACAGAGCATAGCAAGCATAGACGATTATGATATGCATTGGAATTTTTTTTTGAGCGTTGGAAGGGCCCATTGGCAGAAAACCTTCACGCAGAGAATTGGAGAGGCACAATTGGCCGATATCGGCATTTTACGCTGTTGTAGTTAACTTGGGTCAAAATCGATATATCGAGATTGTTTGTTTCGCGCCCTTCACACATCGAGTTTAGATGCAATTCTTCAAGCCGTGACTAGCTGTGAAGCTCTCGTCCCAAATGAGATGCATGTATACGTACGGATATCTTTTTGAGAAAAGGCTGGGGAAGATGAGGGTCAGATGAGACAACATACAAGCCGCGTCGTGCAGCCCACAACGTGGTGAACCACATTACGCAGTAGATTAGAGCAACGTGATCTAGTTAATCTGGGGGACGAACCTCTGCGGGATGGGCTTAAAGCAGGGTCAATGAGGGGAAGAAGGGCCTTATCGCAGCAAATGGGGGATAGAGGGCACCCTTAGGCCTTTGGTACGATTTCCCCTTGGCCAATAAGAAGAGTGGCTGGAGGGGCAAGGATGCGTATAGTGGTGGTGGTGTTTGTGCTGCAGAGGAAAAGTGCAGCCGACGTGGTCGAGTTGTACACTAGGTACTTACATTTGTTTCCTAGGTAAGGTATTGATGGGGGGGGGGGGGGGCGGTGCCAGGCGCGGGTGTAGGGTGTGCCTCGCTCGTATGGGCGAAACGTCGCCTTTTGGCCCCTTGGCCCCTTGGAAGAAGAGCGCGTGAACGGATGTCGCGATAACGCCCGAGCGACGAGCGAGCAAAGACCGATGTCGCCATCGCTTCATTCCTCGGCTGACGAAAGCATCGCCTCGGAGGAGGATGCGGAGGTTCGCATTCTGCTGGCTGTGCTGAAGACGGGGGTTTTTTTTTTTTCCCAACGAGTTGGATGTCTGTCTGGAGACACCGAACTGGGATCCGTATCATTTTTCTCGCCCATGGCTGAAGTATTCGTAAACTATCTGTTTGTCTGTCTGGTTCGGGCGGTGGTTCGTAAAATCAGGGTTCGGGAGAGGTTGGGGGTGCAGTGGCCTTTGGGATGACGTCGGCTCATTTCATCTTCCACCCCGGTCTCGCCGGTCCTTCTCCGCACTTTAGTGTTTGACTGTGTTGTTGTTGGGTGAGGATTGAGGAGTGGCCGGCGACATTCAACAACCAGCCGGGCATGTCGAAAGGAAGGCATCGTGGCGGCTTAGAATGAGGTTAAGAAAAGCTTTGTATGGGGGCGACGGGATTAGCAAGCGAGCGATTCGGACGGGGCAAAGATTGACCAAGAGGCTCTGGAGGTGGCGATTCTCATGTTCGCTGCCGACTACTTGCTTTGAGACCGAGAGTCTGAGTGCGTGTTGAGTGGTCGAGGACTCAAGTTGGGTTTGTTTCCTGGCCGCTACAGTCTGCCTATCCGGGTGGCGGGTGGGGCGCTTGTTTGTCAGTGACAGTCACGGCCGGGTCGGACTTGTTTCTGACCCTCTTTGCTCTTCGCTCTTTACGCTTGACTTTTGGCTGGCGTCCGTGGAATCCGTCAAGCGTAGGTGAGACACGACGAATTCCAGTCAAAGGTGTCAAACCGAAGCCAGCCTTGCCAGCCTGCTTGATTTCAATATGGAAATAGGTATCGAGTCTACCGACAGCTAGCATCGTGGGCATTCCAAAGGATGCGCTCGGCGAACTCTTCAGCCCCAGTGTCTGTCGTCGTCGGCGGTGACGACTGTTCCCAGTTCTGTGGGACGTGGTAAACACAAGTGAAGTGAGGACGCCCGGGAAGAGGCGGAGTAGGTACAGGGATTGACGGTGGGCCTCTTGCGACCCATCAGTTCATCAGTGACATTCTCGAGACGCTGCGGGAGACTAGCGGTATCGAAGTCGCGGAGTGTTTTCCTGTCCAAAGATTAGTCGACTTGCAGCTTCACCAGAAACTACCGGTAAGGCAAAGATCTCGAAATCTTGTAGAAGCAGACACTCAGACGGGTATGCTAGATTGGATCTTCCACCTTGTTGCCTTTTCGGCGTGTGTTTTGGCCTTGGGACTACTGCGCAGGGGCGGCATGAACGAGACCATCTGATCAAAGAAGCGGCGGCGACGAGTGGCCAACCTTCCAGCGCAAGTCGCAACTGAGACATCAGGCACAGCACTCTGGGTTCCAGCCTTCCCAGGTTCGTGGTCAGAAAGCGGGCGATAAGGACCAAGGAAAAGGTTTTTCTACCTCTGTCAATGGGCATTATTGTATGAGTCTAGAGGTAGATGTACGACGTCCTCAGAAAACCCCACTTGGTTCTGGAGGGTTCCGGCTTGCTCCTGCCTACTTTAGCGCCTTGTGGCACTTGCGCAGTTGCTGATGAATCATTCGCCATTCCCCCAGACAAGGCACTCAGAACTGAGAAAGAAGGCACTCAGTGCCACTCACTGCATAACCTGCCCCACTCTCTTGAACCTGCGCCTCCAATCAGACCCCTCTTTCCCTGCCTTCCTTGCCTTCCGCGGCCAGTCAGTCACCAGTGCACCCAGGAAGGCACCACCACCCAACTTGGCTCCAGGTCCTTCCTTCCCGCCTTCAGACAGGCCGTATCTCTCTGACACCTTGGTTGCCTTCCGGTATTTAAGCCACTTCACCTCTTCATCCTCCACCCCTCTTTTTCTTCCCCATCACATCTACTACACAACACCCTCGCTCGACGAACTTCCCATCAGCGATTACTCCCGATAAGGAGCAACTACATTAGGAATACCAAAGAACAACACCATACATCAGATTCCACCGAAGCCGCCATCATGCAGATCTTCGTCAAGACCCGTAAGTCATCCAGGCATCCGAGAGTCACAACCAACAATTACTGACATCCTTCCCCCAGTCACCGGCAAGACCATTACCCTCGAGGTCGAGTCCTCCGATACTATCGACAACGTCAAGTCCAAGATTCAGGACAAGGAGGGCATCCCCCCCGATCAGCAGCGTCTCATTTTCGCTGGCAAGCAGCTTGAGGACGGCCGCACCCTCTCTGACTACAACATCCAGAAGGAGTCCACCCTCCACTTGGTTCTCCGCCTTCGTGGTGGCATGCAGATCTGTAAGTTACTCTACGTCAATCCTGCCTCCAATCACATGTATGCTAACCCACCTGCAGTCGTCAAGACGCTCACCGGCAAGACCATCACCCTCGAGGTCGAGTCTTCTGATACCATCGACAATGTCAAGTCGAAGATTCAGGACAAGGAGGGCATCCCCCCTGACCAGCAGCGTTTGATCTTTGCTGGCAAGCAACTTGAGGACGGACGCACCCTCTCCGACTACAACATTCAGAAGGAGTCCACTCTCCACTTGGTTCTCCGCCTTCGCGGTGGTATGCAAATCTTCGTCAAGACTCTTACCGGCAAGACGATTACGCTCGAGGTTGAATCTTCAGACACCATTGACAACGTCAAGTCGAAGATCCAAGACAAGGAGGGTATTCCTCCTGACCAGCAGCGCTTGATCTTTGCCGGAAAGCAGCTTGAGGATGGTCGCACTTTGTCGGATTACAACATTCAAAAGGAGTCAACCCTGCATCTTGTCCTGCGTCTCCGTGGTGGTATGCAGATCTTCGTTAAGACGCTAACTGGAAAGACGATTACGTTGGAAGTCGAGTCATCTGACACGATTGATAACGTGAAGTCGAAGATCCAGGACAAGGAGGGTATCCCTCCTGACCAGCAGCGTCTTATCTTCGCTGGAAAGCAGTTGGAAGATGGTCGCACTCTGAGCGACTACAACATCCAGAAGGAATCAACCCTTCATCTCGTTCTCCGTCTTCGTGGCGGCCAGTAAGCGACTGGTTAGCGATGGAGAAGTTGCCTCGGGCGAGGCATGGCGTTAATGGATTACGATTACGGCGGGACAATGGTTCTGAATGATATCTTCACATACTCCTAGAAATTAGCTAGGCAACTCTTGCGCTCATGAAAGCGTCAATACCAGGCTCTATTGAAGTCTCAACTCCTTTGTATCGCTTGCCCTACTGTGATGTACCTACCTGATGATCCTCTTGTTGTGCTGTGAATGTCACTTCTTGGAGGTTGACCCATCTATCGCTTATCAGTGACGTACCTGATAAAACGAGTCCGTTACCAGTGGGGCGGTGGGGTGCTCCTACAGCTCCTCGAACCTCGCTCCCACCTCAGTTGACTGAAATCTTCCCCACAACACAATTATCCTGCCTGCTTCCATGAGTTGCGCCGCGACATGAACAGCCCATGGAAGTCCTGGAAACACTTGGAAACCCACGTTCTTTTGCCTCCATAGTCTGGGGCCTTTAACAGCAGCGGCGCAACATTTGCACCTCCCAGAGTTAATCAGCATCGTCTCACGGCAGCCTGCGAGGCTGAGAAGGGCTATGCGGACCTTCTTCTACCACCTCAAGTTCGAGCTTTATCCCACTTCAAGCCCCGCACTCGCCGACACCAAGGTCGTCAAAGGGAAACAGCAGGAGGAAGCTCCCAGTAAAGACGTGTGGCTTCCGCCGAAAGGCGCCAACATCTTCGCCGAACTTCCCGCGCATTCTAGGAAAAGTTCGAAGAGGCCAAGTACGAGCTTCCGACCGCAATCTTCACCACTACAAGCCTTCGAACTACCCTACCCTGCCGATACCTATCGATCGAGCACACCACGAGCACCGGAGGCTACTTCGAACCCGAGCCTCATCGACTGCGGACCTTCCAGAGCTCCGGTCAAGGAAGACAGTGGCAGTAACATCGAGAGGATAACCGAGAGGCAGTGGAGAGCTCGTACGCAGAGCTTCCCACCCCCGCCTTCTTCGGCAGCGATCCGACCAGAAACGGCAGTCAAGGATTGGCGCTTTGGTCAGGTCAGCATCGAGAGCATCGACATCGAGTCGGAAAGCGACCATTATACAGACCAAATGGCGGCTGAGGCTACGAGCTCTGGAGCAGACCTAGGCGTCGGTCCGACGTTTGGCGGCGCCGGAATCTCCACGAAGGCGAAGTATGTTCCACTCGACACAAAGAGTACGGAAGTAGGCTGGGGAGTAGTACATTTTTACCGCGACGAGGAGGAAACACCTGCCTTGGGGCTGCCGTCTTCAGAAGGAGACGATGTCGAGGCAGAAGAATGCACGACGCTTTGCATACCTGCAGTTCCAAGTTACTTGAGCCCGGGCGACTTCATAGGCTACGTCGGGGAGAAATGGAGGAACGACATCAGTCACTGGCGAATGGTCATGACGGCTAGGATGAATCGGTATTTAGTGCTCCTAAAGTTTGGAAACAGCGAGAAGGCGCGCGCGTGGCAGAAGGAGTTTGACGGAAAGGTCTTCAACAGTATGGAGGTGAGTAGTCCATTGCATTCCCTGACACGGCCGTGTGACTGACTCTTCTGCAGGCGCAAGTTTGCCATGTTGTCTTTGTCAAATCGATCACCTTTGAGACACCGACTCGAGAAAACAAGACGTTTCCCGACCTCAATCACGATCCTTTCACGCCTTCCTCCGTCGTCGCCTCGAGCAGTCTAAGGCCTTTCCCTCCGCCGACGCCGAATCTCATCGAACTACCTACTTGCCCCGTGTGTCTCGAGCGCATGGACGACACGACAGGTCTGATGACGATTCCTTGCCAGCACGTCTTTCACTGTACCTGCCTGCAAAACTGGAAAGGCTCAGGATGTCCAGTTTGTCGACACACGAACCCCGAAACTGCATACGATCCATCGAACCCATATACACAACCCTTTGGCTCTTCCGTATCCAACTTGTGCAGCGTATGCGATTCCACCGATGACCTATGGATCTGCCTTATCTGCGGAAATGTTGGCTGCGGTCGATATAAGGGCGGCCATGCCAAGGACCATTGGAAAGAGACGGCTCATAGCTTCTCTCTGGAGCTGGAAACACAGCATGTATGGGATTACGCTGGGGATACGTGGGTACATCGTTTGATCCGTGATAAGGGTGACGGCAAGGTCGTGGAGCTCCCGGGCAGCAACGGACATCATCGCGGACCGGAAGGCGGCTATGAAGATACTGTTCCCCGCGCAAAGCTGGACAACATCGGCTTGGAATACACTCATCTCCTGACTAGTCAACTTGAGTCACAGCGGGTCTACTTTGAAGAGATGATCAGCAAAGTGGCGGACAAGGCCTCAAAAGCGGCCGCGATAGCCGAGTCTGCATCGGCGCAAGCTACCACAGCTCTGGAAGAGAATGCCACCCTCAAGACGGAGCTGACACGTCTCCAAACGCAAGTCATACCACAACTCGAGCGGGACGCTGAGCGTGACCGTGCAAAGGCCACCAAGGCCCAGGAACTGGCCCGCAATATGGGCAAAGCCCTTCAAGAGGAGAAGCAAGTCACGCAGGGACTCATGAAGCGCGTAGAGCACAACAAAGCCGAGCTCGACACCCTGAAGAAGAGCGAGGCGTCTTACAAGGAACAGGTGGCGGAGCTGCAGGAAATGAACAGAGATTTGTCCATGTTTATATCGGGACAGGAGAAGTTGCAGCAGATGGAGAAGTCGGGCGAGATTGAGGCTGGTGAAATCGCGGAAGGGAGCGCCAGCGTTCCTGAGAAGAAGGGCAAGCGGAAAGCGAAGAAGTAAGTCCGCTTAAGGGTGTTTATTGGGTCTGGCGTTCACAGGATGGCGGCGGTTTGGCATTTCATGGTGCATGGATACAACGATACCTGTATAGTATTAGAGCGATCACTTCATTTAATCATCACTCTTTCCAGTGAGATGCGTGTGGGTTTATCTGCGCACTCATGGAGGCTTGCGATCTCGAAATATCGTTTGTACAAGTCCCACGGCGCCCTCTGTTCCACGTTGTCTCAAGCAGGCGGGCGAACGCCTTTGGACCCGAAGATAATTTGACTTATCCGGAGAGTATCCCCTATGGTGGAAGGTCAGAGGGATAAACGTACCCGAGTTGATGTTATAATTTTTCATTCGTCAGTACGTCCAATGTATCCAGACCTCACGAACCAGAGCCCTTTCCCATCATGATTCAACCTGGAGCCGGGTATCCAAACTCCGATACCTTTTTCTCGCTAGGCGACTCTAGTTGATACGGTCAAGTCCGTTGTGAACTTTTAGTCATCGCTGCTTTACCTCAAACTCGATTCGAAGCGAAGCAAAAAGTCTTCCGGCCATTCGGGACGCATTTCGATAACCGGAAGACGTTGCCGTTGTACGCACAACGAGGCAGGCCAGGCTGTGGTGCTTCTTCGACGTGGGATTCATATCTATCATTGTAAACACTCATCTTTAGGTGCTTTTGAGATCGTGTAGGAGGGCTCAGGTAAGCGGATAAGTCGTTTGAGAGCAATAGATCAATATTTTCTTCATATCATTACTCATCACTGATCTCTGGCTTGATATGACTTTCAAAGGATTGTTTGAGGATCCGACTCGGCCCAATACTTCTGCTCTTTCAGCAAATCTTGAGGCACAAACAGAAACAAGTGATGCTTCCACCCAGGATAGGAGAAGGCAGAACCACACACATGACTGCTAAGCAATCGCCCAACCATCAGTACAAATTTTAAGTTTTCTACTCAGGAACAAAATTTCCATGATATGCCGCCGGATTAAAGGGGAGGGGGGCAAAAAACGACAAAAGCTCAGCTATTCGAACTTGCGAGGTTCAGAATGCCTACGAAACCCCAGTCGCGATTTCATGCCGGTACTTTTGCTCACCCGCTAGGCTACCGCGGCTATGTGTGCCGTAGCACCTCTGGATTCATTTTGGAATGGTTGATATAGGATGGGTGGATGGCATGATTAGGATTTTGAGTTGTGGCGTTGGGAAGAGAGGGGTTGTGGATGAGAGATGTACCTGGATGCCCCGGTTGCCGGCATATCGTGAAGCCTCATCATTTGTGAGGTGGGAGACACACTGTAGTGAAACGGCGTTCGCCAGCTTCCCAATGTATCGTGCACTTTCTTTGGAACTAATTGAGCACAATGGGCTCAGATGGAAGCTGGCTGCACAACATCGAATAGAACTTTAATGTCGATTGATGGATGATTTTCAAAAAAAAAAAAAAAAAAAAAAAACCGATGACCTTAATGAGCAGCGCTTAGAGACTTGAGGGGTCGATCGAGGAATACTTCTGTAGTAGGAAGACCTACGAGATGTTCGTGGCGCAGAAATAGTCATGTTTCTTGCCTTACGCCAATCCTTACTTGGGCCATCGTTTTGTTTGGAAGGCACTTGCATCCATCGACTGATGGTGGAGATCGAGGAAACCATGACTAAGCTAGTGGGCTCTTAGTCAAACACCAAGTTTGGCACGCTTGGAGGTAGCTTCAACTACTTGTTCCTACTTTGTCAGATGTAAATTTAGACGGAAGTCCATGTTCTCACGATGAAGATCGACTGTGATATAGGTAGCGAAAGTCAGGGGCTCGATTCATTTGACCCTTGGGCCAAGGTTGAGTAAATAGTTGGCAGAACCCTTGGATAGAGTCGATCCCAAATAATAGTGAACGGCGGCCTACATTGGACTGCAACGCAAAAATTTATGAGCTCTATTGCGTGAGGTTGTGACCGTGAAATAATGCGACGATTAACAGCAGGATTGGAATCAGGTTTCTTGCTTGGATCGCTGGAATCCTGATCTCGTTTGTCATACATACTCAAATACGTATTATTTCCTGCGGTTGCCATAGCCAGACTGAGTGACCTATAATGATTACTCAGAGAGATCACACAATACTGCCATGAGGCATCTTGAGCTTCTTACGGGGAAGCGGACAACGAATTCAAACCGAAAAGTCGGAGGCTTCCTCAGGCCCCACGAATCCAACGGCTCCGTCCCCGCAACGCCGAGCTCTGACCAACCCCGGTAACTCCACCGCCCGCAAATCCCTACCCCACCATGGAGAACCCCTCGGTGCTCACACTGGAAGTGACGCTTCTTCGCGACAAGAAATTCCAAAGCTCCAACATCAACCATCACCACAGTCAAACCGCCACCACCACACAATGGCAGCAACGACAGCCTCCCCCTTCCCCTTCCCCCGGGAATACTCCTTCCCCCCCTTCTTCACCCGCCAAACAAACCTAACAACCCACCACGCCCAACTCGTCAAATGGTCCGACCTAATCCTCTCCTACTGCCGCCACCACCGCCTCTTCAAGCTCTCCCTCGGCGCCGCCATCCCCTCCACCACCTCCTCCTCGCTCCCGCACGCCCTCCCGAACCACAGCGAAGCCTCTCCCCTAAACGAACCAACAACCTTCTCCCCCGCAACCGCAGCATCCTCCGCCGCCGCCGCGCCAGAGGAGCTCTTCCACAACAAGACGCTCAACAAGCGCCTCAGCCTGGCCGACGCGCGCGAGGTCCTCGAGTTCATGCGCAAGGACGGCCGCGCCGAACCTTTACCGGCCAGCACCGACGTCTTTTGGATCTACTGGCGCACGCCCGACGAGTGGGCTGCCGCGATCGAGGGGTGGATTGACGAGACGGCGCAAAAGGGCGTCGTGCTGACGCTGTATGAGCTTACAGAGGGCGAGAGTACCAGGGGCACAGGTGGGCAAACACAATTTCTCTTCTCTCTTGAAACTTTTCTTCTTGCAATGTGATGATCGGAACCCGTGGGCTAAGAACAGTCTCTATGTGTGTACAGATTTCCACGGCCTCGATCCAGATCTTTTGTCAAAAGCGCTCCAAATCCTGGTGAAGCGCGGCAAGGCCCAGATCTTTGGACAAGAGGACTCGCAGGGTGTAAAGTTCTTTTGATCTTGCTCTCCCTTCTACCTCCTTATGATGATATGACACGACGAGACATTGGTCTCCTTCTTTTGCGAATCTCTAACTAGACATACCACGTTGACACATTATTCCTCGAGCCGGGTCGTAAACAAACACCAAGTCCCAAGGTCTTCACCCGAAAGCAGCACAACTCCATGCCATCGCATATATACATGTACAATCCAAAGCCACCGACTTAGCCACCAAGCTGAGCGAAACGATGATCACAGGCTCTTTTGGAAAAAGTTCTTGGCGAGGTACTTCTCGTCAAAGGAGACTTGCTGCTTCATGGCGACATCCAACAGCCAGTCAGCTGCGACGATGCGTGGCTCCATGTGGCCCTTGCGCGCCATCTCCTCAAACTTGGGCCAGAGAGACCGCTCGTCGGCACTGTTGGAGCTCAAAAGATAGACAGGCTCTGGCGGCGCGCCTCCGTCCTCCTCTTCTGTCGTCGGCTTGATGGTCGTGCCGCTGCGCGCGCGGTACAGCTTGAACATGGCTCCATTGGCTTCAGCAATGGCCTTGTAGCTTTCGGGTCCGTTGCAAATGTTGTTTGTACAGTAAACGGGGACTGTCCACAACAGCTTTCCGAGATTCGCCCTCGCACGCGAGACTGCCGTCTCGAGCTTGACGCCAAACTTGGCTTCATTTTCCTCGTCCTTTAGGAGAAAATCGTCGGGGTCGGGAACCTCGCCTCTTTCGAGAGCCTCGTCGATGAAGTTGGACGATAGAACGGTAGGCCCTTTGGCCAGGGTTTTGAGGAACTTGACAGTCCGTACCATGTGAGGAGCGGCGAGATAGTCGCACGGCTTGTCGTCTTGTACTATCAGGATTCCCATGTCGCGAAGCTTTCTCTGCGACCTGTTAGCCTGGCGAAAAGAAAGAAAATCAAAAGACTTACCCTCTCTGTATCCTCCTTGGACTTGGCATTGACCCATCTCGTGAAGCCCGTCAGCACGATCCTCATCTCCACGTCTGGACGTAATGATTTCCGCTTCTTGGAAGGCCTTGAATCTTCGTCCTCCTCATCCACTTCCATTGCCTGGGCCGGGCTCGATGTGCGGCCCCTTTCTCTATCGATTTGATCTGCAGCACGCTTACCACCCCATGGGCCCTGCTTATCCTTGCCGCGCTTCTTCTCCTTCTCGTACAACGCAATATCGGGGGCGATACGCTGTAGGTTGGTCAAAGCCTTGCTTTTGGCGCTTCGGCCTCCAGTCGACATTTCCGAGGGTGTATCATTCTCTTTTCCGCGGCCACCTTTCTTAGGGCGTACAGGCGTCATGAAGCTGTCGTCGATAGCCTCATCACTCTTATCCTCTTGCCTGCCAATCACAACCCCCTCGGCAGGACCATGCAAGTACGAGTTCTCCTGCGCAGCCTCAAGAATCTTGCGCTTCCGTGTCGCTTGGGGCGACAACCCCTCTTCACCACCGGGGTAGTATGTTTCTCGCAAACAATACTCATCGAAGAAGGTCTGCCCGATGACCTCGCCCAGATTCGTGCGAACGGGAAAGTGAGAGTACTTGGGGACAGTCACCCTCTGCATCTCACACTTGGCGTAGCTCTCTTCGATCCACAGGTGGTTGACCGTCTCGATGTTCCAATCCTTGGCCGCCTCGTATTTCTCACTGCTGCTCCTTGCTGTGATGAGGTGTGTATTCTCGGCCTTCATCGTCTTGGTGTATGTGGCGCCGGTTGCCTTGATCAGATTTTCCAGGTATATGCGAGCGTCACCGCCGTAGTTGGAGAGACAGATCTTGAGACCTTCGAATCCGGGGATGCCATTTTTGGGAACCGGGTAGTGGAGTAGACGGCGAAGCGGGGACGTCCATTCATTGTGCGTTATGAGGTGGTAAAGCCATGAGAGATTGCCAATGTCTTTCCCTGACTGGGCAGCCTTGACGTACTGTTCCCCGTCACGATATTGGCAAATAAAGTAGTCGCAGTCGTCAACGTTGTCGACCACCTTGCCACCGCCATTGTTGATAAGTTGCTTGACAGCTTCCAGCGATCGTGGGGTAATGCTGAGGTCCCCTGAAAGCATGACATCCTTGTCCCGAAATATCGTAGCTGGTTTCCGCGGGCCGTCACTGAGGTGGTTGGGGCTTGTTGAGGTCGCTCCGTTGAGCTGGTCGTATTTGGGCGCTTGCACCTCGCCTTGATTCTCGTTGTGACGAAGGATTTCGGGATCTGGGAGCAGATAAGGGCCTTCGGGTATACGTTTGCCAAGCTTGAAGCAATCTTCGAACCTGGTATGTGTAAGAGGTGGTTCGAAGCACAAGGACGCTACAGACTTACCAGTGGGGTAAAACAATCTTGCAATTGAGGCCTTTCTCCTTGGCGATGACACATTTGGGATCTTCGGTAGTCAGAGCGCAGATATGTGTGGTCTGTCGTGTGACATCGGCGCCTTCCATGCCGCCCATAGCCAGCGTAGCACCAATGATGGTCTCCTTGTCGATTTCAGGCAAACCAGCAGTTGTAAGGATGACCTTGGAAAAGAACATGCGTGGATCGGGAGAGTATGGCCGGACCTGTGCCTGTTTGTTCTTCTTGACTGATGCCTTGATCCATTCGGTATTGACGACTGGGATCATGAAGGCCTGAGTTTCGGTGAACTGGGGAAAGTCGATGGTGTTGGAAATGATGTGAGAAACAGCTTCGAGTCTGAGAGAGCCATCGCGTCTGGGGTCGAGGACCGTTCCGCCACGACCTTCCACAATGCCGGCATACTCGCTGATTTCTTTGGGAGCTAGGTGGGCACTCGGCACGAAGGCAAAGGTACATTCTGCGAACAAGCCCTTTGCCTGTTCAGCCATGGTGGGCAATCGGGTGAGGCATGCAATTGAGAAGAGCTAAAGAGCTAGCGGGCGCCGGAGTCGATGTCAGGGCATACGCAGGACGATATCTTGAGGTTTGCTGTCAGAGTGTTGTTTGTGCAGAAAGACCGGTGTGGGTATTTGCCTGCAGGCAATTACGAAAGATGAAGGCGATTTCGACGCGAAATTGTTAGCGACGCGGCCTGGTGCAGGACGCGAGGTGAGCTCGCCGTCACGTGTAGCTTCCCTGCAAGGTACAATTGTTTGTGTGGCCCCTGCGATGTTGAATAAGTATCGGTACTTTATCCATTAAAAGCGCGATAGGGACGCGTCAAAGGGAATCATCCGCCAACCAGCTAGCTTTTTGCCGCAAGCCGCCCATCAATGTGCAGTGACATTCTTCGGTGACATTCTTCGGTGACATTCTTACTCCAAAACAAACTACAACCTTAATACGACTACGATTACATTTGGCACCATGGCCGATGTTTTTGCAGTGAAGTCTCTTTACCAAACATCGTCTTTCGAAATAGCTGTTCAAACTCAATTGCTGCGCTCACAACTTCATGATCCCTGCTTCCATCCTACCCACGGATAGAACCCGATTCCACGGATGTTCTTCATGCTATAGGCACTTCCAACTTGAACATACAACTCGAGGCCTCACACTCTCTTCATTACAAATGGCGCCTAAAGACTCGACTTGATCAAATCGGCAGCCCGCTCGGCGATTCCATAGACCGTTGCCTGAGGGTTGGCACGCACTGTAATGGGCACAATGGAAGCATCAGCCACCCGCAAGCCACGGATTCCATGCACCTGGAGCTTCTCATCTACCACTCCGCCAAGCTCCCGAGGCATCATGGAGCAAGTACCCGTGAAGTGATGCGCGCCGACTGCCGTCTTACGCACAAACTCTTTGGCTTCCTCAAGGTCTGTCAGAGCGTTGGCGGGGTTGCGCTTCCCGCTCGGCTTCAGTTGACTTCGGAGCGGCTCGCTTGCAGCGATCTTCTCCAGGAGCTGAATATGTCTGGCCAGAACCTCGACGTCGAATGGGTGCGATAGGTACGCCGGGTCGATGGCGACCGCGGGCGATTCAAGGGACGCAGAAGTGATGTGACTTGACCCTCGCGACAGGGGATGTGCGAGGAGCAGCGCTATTGTGAAGTACTTTTCCTCGCCAGGCGGCGGCGCTGCCATGGTTCCGTCCCCGCTGAACAATGCGAATCCCGGCAAGGACAGATAGTACCCCGACGGTTCCGAAGACGACGTCAGGACGGACCGCACGTATGCCTCGAGGGCCTTTGTGAACTCTGGCGTCGCGCTCGTTTTGGGGCCGCTCAACTTGTCAAGAAGCTGGGTGACATCCTCGCCAGCGGGCAGAGGAAGCTGTGCAGTCGCGACGGTGCCGCTTCTTGAGAACGGCCCAGTGCCCTTACCATACGCCTCCATCGCAGCTCCGACGGCAGCCGGTTCCTGACGAATAATGCCATCCATGGTGTCGAGCTCTGGAAGGGCCTCAAAGCTTGCGCCGACTATGACGTGGTTCTGTAGATTTTCACCGACGTGCGGGTTGTCAAGAACGACTTCGATGCCGAGTTTACGGAGAAGCTCCCCGTTTCCAACACCGGAAAGCTCAAGAATCCGTGGCGAGTTGAGGGTGCCAGCAGTCAATACGACCTCCTTTTGTGCTGTTGCTGTTGTTGTCTCTCCATCCTTGGTGTATTGAACGCCATCGGCAACAATTTCGCCAGCCTCTGACTTGAAGACAATCTTCTCTACCAAGGCTCCAGTCACAACTGTCAAGTTGGATCTAGACTTTGCCGACTGTAGATACGTGCTGCCGGCATAACTTCTCTGCTTTGTCTCCGGGTCTATAGTGTCTGGCGTGAGACTGCTGCCGACTCCCCGCCCACTCAAGGGGTCACAAGAATCGGGGAAGCCTAGACTGCGGATAGAATCTTGCCAGATTTTGGGCCAGAAAGACTCGACGTTGTCCGGCAGAGACAGCTTCAGTGGCCCTGTGCCCTCACCAGAAGCGATGGAATAGGCCTTCTTAGAGGCCTCATTGAACGTAGGCCAGTCCCAGCCGGGATTGCCCAAGCTGGCCCACGCCTCGACATTGGACCGTGTGGTGATGGTAAAGGAAAGGCCATTGAGGGCACCTGAGCCACCAAGGAGACGACCTTGAGGGACAGCAATCTCGCGACCACCTAGGCCATCCTGCAAACGATTCACTATCAGTAAAGCGGACTACCAACAGCAGCGGCTGGTCTGAGAAACACTTACCTGGGGCACCGTTCGGAACTGCCAGTCAGAGGGCGTTTTGACAAGACTGGGGCCCAGTGCGGGAATATTGACTCGAGGGTCTGCCGTTTGGTCTTCGCCCGCTTCGAGCACTAGGACCTGGACATCTGGAATCTCAGACAGACGAGTGGCAACTACTAAGCCGGCGACGCCGCCACCCACGATGATGAAGTCGTATTTTGCAGCCATTTTGAGAGACGGTGTGATGAGTAACGCAACGCGTGTGATTCTGCAAAATCAAAAGACTTCGTTGGAACTTCGGCCACTGTTAAATCATGACAGGTTTCCGAGCCCGAGACGTCTAAGATTGTGTAGGATTGCGGCAAAGCATTAGTCGCCGTAGCGCCGAGCGCCCACCCGGCATCTCCCCCGCGGGCGGCCGTATTGCACCAACATACGACACTGAGCCGGCCAACCGTTTCTGGTACCGTTCAAGCAGGTTCCACTGCATGGTTGCATCCTTACGACTTTGTTTTCTGCATCAGGGGTATGACAGTTTGGGACGCAGACCCTCTCACTTCCCTGGGACCCCGGTCAACGACCGTCAAGGGACAACCTGGTCGGTAACCGGATATCAAGGTTATCGGGATGACCCATGATCACCGCGGCGCGATATTCAAGTATGTACCTTTGATCAACGAGTACGGCCTCTAGGATAGAATGGAGGACGTTACGATGCGTGCTGGATTACATCCCAGTTATTGGACACTAGTCAGTTCCTGTGGCATGCTGTTACCCCTCAGGTAACTCACGACAGATTGTCGAGGGATAGACTGGACCCAGCCATGGATGGCACTAGGCATCATGTCAGGTTTCGATGACTGCTCGACTGGCGGATGTTTATCGACTCCGGGCTGAGGATGAGTTATCGGTGGTAGACTTCAAGAAAGAGGCGCCTCGAGCTGGTTGGAATTGGCCAAGTGCAACACACAAACTTCATCATGAGTGTTCTTCTCGATTCCAGTTACCAAGCCGTCCTGGTCTACGTCCTTGGACTCCTTTGCGGCGTTGCCGTTCACTTGGGCATTTTTATTCACGGAGAATGGCATGTACAGGCTCCTCAGATTGCCCTGGGTCACTTCTGGCTGTTCTTTTGTTTCGCGGCTCTCAGCCGTTACTACAAGGGCTCAGTTGTTGGTGATCTTTGCCATTCACTCTTGATACTATCCGCTGGTTATCTACCTGGACTTTTCACCAGTATTACCCTCTACAGATTCTACTTTCATCATCTATCAGCTGCTGGTTTCAAAGGCCCATGGTACGCCCGAGTCACCAAGCTGTGGCACGTCTGGGCCTGCAGAGATTGCAAGAATCATTTGCTCTTAGAGAATTTACATGAGCAGTATGGAGACTTCGTGAGGACAGGTAAGTGACCACCCGAAACAACCTTCTTTGAAACCTCCACTGATAGTTTAGCTAGGACCCAGTGAAATCACTGTTTTCCATCCAGGAGTCTTCATGGCTGTAGATGGTCCCCGGTCCGAATGCATCAAATCTGAGTGGTACGACATTCTGCATCCCGATCGTGCGCTGGTTACAACACGCATCAAGCCCATTCATGCTGCCAGACGCCGTGAATGGAATCGTGGATTCTCGGCACAAGGTATTTACCCCATAGATCTTCGGAATCATGAGCCTATCTCTAACGAGCCGTGCCGTACTACAGCCCTTGTTCAACACGAGTCAAAGATTCTCAAGTATATTGAGCAGCTGGACATCTGCATCGAGGCGGATGCCAAAGCGCACGTTGCTTCGGAAGTGCGGAACCTGTTCTTTTGGTTTGGGTTTGATGTCATGGGAGACTTTGTCTTTAGCAAGTCGTTCGATATGCTGCACCAGCAGCAGTGGCACCACATCATCGTGCGGCTGCAGCGTGCCCTCTCGCTCCTTGGACCATTCAGTCCTGCTCCATGGCTCATCCAGGTCGGCTTCAAGTTGGGACCGCGAATCAGCGTTCTCAAGGACTGGTTCGACATGGTCGCCTGGTGTGAGCGGCAGATGCGTGTCAGACTTGATGATGGAACTCCAAAGCCAGCTGTTCCTGATCTTGCCTACTACTTGATGGAGCTGAACGACGGCCAGACTGAGCTCAAGGATCGTTTGCCATGGCTTTATGGCGATAGTTTGCTCGCAATTGTTGCTGGAAGGCAAGTTGATTCCCCCAATCTCGTGGGTGCTTACTTATTGACAAACATACAGCGAGCCGACGGCTGCTGCCTTGATTGGAATTTTCTGCGAGTTGGCTAAGCACCCCGAGCATGCTGAGAAGGTCTATGAGGAGTTGAAAGATATCGACGCTACCAACCTCAAGACTCTCACGAGCCTCCCGCACCTTAATGCTGTCATCAACGAAGGGCTCCGCTTGTACCCAGCCCTCCTCACCGGCGGGGCCAGGAAGACCACGGAGAACGGGGCCACGATCGGTGGGACTTTCATCCCGCCCGACACGACAATCATTGCCCCGCGTCACGTTATATCCCGAAGTAAGTAAATTCATAGATGGATGCTTTCGTCAGTTCTCAGCTCACATGTTATCTACAGGGGAGGACTGCTTCGAGCGGGCCAATGAGTTCATCCCCGAGCGATGGAGTACGCGGCCAGAGATGATCCGCAATGTTACAGCTTTTGCGCCATTTGGAACAGGTATGGCGACCTTTGTCTTTTGTCTGCTATCTGATAGCTTTTGATCGACTAATCCATCTACTGCAGGTCACCACAGCTGTCTTGGTCGTTTCCTGGCCACCGACACTATGAGATTTGTTGTTGCCAGACTTGTGAAGAAGTACCATTTCCGCCTCGCACCGGGAGAGACGGGCAACCGTGTCTTTGACGATGTGAGGGATCAGTTCACCTCTAATCCGGGTCCCCTGTCGCTGTGTTTCGAGTTGAGGTGATTATGCTATGTTTAGACATAATAAGTATGTAGTCACTTTGAGTTTAGCCAAGGTACCAAGAAGCGAATCGTATCATTTTTCGTTTTTTATCTCTTTACAACAAATGTATTTCCAATGCCGAGGCCCTGATTATTCATACGTAACAAGATTGATATATTGGGCTATCTCTGGGCGCACATGGTGAACAACCCATGGGGTTGCTATCGTCTATTCCGGAACTATCTCAAGCAAGGCTAGTGTATGGCCACCCATTGATACCGCTGGTCAGCTGCTGACCAGATTGGATCGCCCCGGTACCCTTTTTGAGCTCTTCGACGTCCCAGTTGGCCCAAACAGTACGACCATTGAGGAACGCCGCCTCGGGACTTGCCAGCCACACCGTGAAGTGGGCAGGGAGTTGGACTGCAAGCCAGCGCGCGGGATGTCAGCACCTTGTTCGGCCCGCTAGAGCTGCAACGGGAAGGAGAAGCAGGGGAGGATGAAGGGGGATGGAGAGGAAGCGAGTGGGAGGGGAGTGACGGGACGGAGAGGGAAAATCTGGGCAGATGGGTGGACAGGGGAGGAAGAAGAGTAGTAGTGAAAGCACAATGGAACTGCACCTTTATCCATGGGGAGAGCTTCGGCCTTGGCGCCACTCTTGGTGAAGATGTCGGTCTCGACCATGCCCGGGTGAAGGGTTACCGCGAAGATGTTCGGGTTTTCCGCCGCTAGGAACTCGATGATTTTGGTTTGGGCTAGCTTGGACGCCATGTAGGCGGACAGGCCAGGCAAGGCGACTGCCGGCAACGCCGTTGTGCCGGTAGTGAGTGCGACAATGGACGCATGCGAAGGGTTCGCCGTGGGGAGGAACACCTTGCTGACGAGGTATGTTCCTTTGGTGTTTGTCTGTCAGGTAGGTGTAAGTGCTCGGGCCCTCTCATTCACTCTCACTTCCCTGTCTCTCTGTCTCTCTCTCGCTAACAACTTGTAGAGAGAGAGAGAGAGGGACAAAGAACTGTCTTCGTCAAGGGTAGTCTGATTTACCTCAAAACTCTGCCACCAGTCATCGGTAGCCGACCCCGCGACGGGCGACGGGCTGGACACATAGCCAGAGGCCAGAACAAGAATATCCCACTTGCCGATCGCGGCTGCCACCTTGATCAACGTCTGTTCGTCCGTGATGTCCACGGCGTGAACATCACTCTGCACAGACGACGGCAAGGAGGTGGCCGTCTCGGCTATGGCGGCCTCTGTGCGGCCCAGGAGACTGACTCGAGCGGCCCCGGCAGCAGCAAAGGCCAGAGCGGTCTCTCGGCCGATTCCACTACCCTATTCGAGAGAAGGACAAAGCGTCAATAGAGAGATTCCTAGGTAAGTAAGGTATCCGTACGGATATATTGCGGGCACAGAACTGGCGCGATATAGAGTTGTGACGGGGGAGGGTGAAAAGCTCCGATCTTTTTTGGATCATGGCCCAGGCATATTCGGAGGCGAGAGGTCATCACAGAGGGGCCGTAGACGGGGGATGGGGAGGCTAGGCGAGGGTCGGTGTTCACAACCAGGGGAAAGGGAAAAGAGAATGGATGTCGTGGAACTTACCGCGCCTGCCACGATGACCGTCTTCCCCGCCGCGCTGAGCTCCGGGCGGGAGGGCGAGATAGCCTCGTAGGTATCGTTGCGCCATGTCGGCGTGACGGAGGGCAGAGGGGGTTGCATCTTGACTTTTTTTTTTGAGCGATATTGGATTGGGTACCGAGAAGAAGGGGTAACCGTCGAGCCGAGAACGGGAATATGTAGCGTCAGCCTTGGAAGTGGCGAGATACAAGATTTCAGCGAAGCAAGAGAGCGATGCTGGATGTATGGATAGATTGAGTGAAGCGTGGGGTAGGTAACGGGAATGCCAGAAACAGTCTCGAGCTATCGCGAGCTAGGCCCTGTCTTTTTATCCCCCCTCTCTCCCTCGTTGAGCTGAGCTAAGACTCAAAAGTTCGGGTCTTTGGTTACAAACTCCGTGATATGCAGCGTTGCGGCGCAGCTCGCACCGTTGAAGACGCCATGGCCCTGAGTAACCGGTTGGTTGGTTGGACGGCGATGTTGCCTGCTCATCTTCTCTTGAGGGATGCAGATAGCTGACCGGTAGACAAGCTACTCAGTAAGAATGGGCATTGTCTCCACCGGCTACTCGGGGACTTTGGTGAAACCTGAGATTGAGAAACAGACTGACACCTGTGCCTTGCATAATTACCGGAAGCGGGATAAACGTAAGCCTCGTTGCAACATCATCATGGCCGTCAAGGTAAGGCAATGTATGCACGCTTCCCCCCTAGTAGAAGGTGCAGACTGCCAGACAACCCCCGTGGTGGGAAGCATTGCATCCAAACGGGTTAACAAATGCGCGGCGCAGCGGCGGGTGGCAGGTGCTGCTTTGCTGAAGACAGTCTTTGTCTTTCACATGGTTGCTTTTGTGGTTTGTGTGGGACTCGGTCTGCTATGTATGGCCCGTTGACAAGGGTCTCTGAAAGTTTGATATATCAACTTGCAGAAACTCCACTTTGAAACTCCCCCCACACCTCGAGACTCTTGAGTAGACTGGGGAACGGTTGAACCCCTGCAGTGAAAATGGTAGAGCGGGGAGGCCAAGTCTTCTCAGAGTCCCATCATACCATGGGGAGGGGGGACCCTCGTTAGACCGGACAAGACTTTGGGACTGGTAACTTGTAACTTGGCAAACCCTTGAGGGTTGATGAGGCTGTGGAGTTTCTCTATCACGTACATGACGAGCTCCCGATCACATCTCAGAAGAGGACAGTCATGTGGGAAGAACATGGTTCCCTATCGATATTATCCACACGTGCAGCAACACCAGGCGGGTGGTTGGTCCTAAAAGACGACGGCTGCCACGAACCATTGCCTATTACTATTCAATTATCGTTGTTTGCAAGCCTGCGCAGTAATCAGAAAGTGGTAAGTGTTAGAGTGTGAGTGGGGAGGAATGGGATGAAAGAATGCAGTGTCATGCAAGCGTGAAAGTGCAGAACCCTCCTACTGAATCATGTCATCCCATCTTGTCTCCCTTCGATCAGATGAGCAGAAGCCTCGCCAGGCAGGCTTACCTACTGGGTTACGTGCAGGAGGAGGAGCCGAAGAGGGAGGGAAGCATGGTTCGGCAAAGTAGTGCAAAGTACATTCTGTCATACTTACATGGCCATCTCTCACTCTCATTCTCAAACTAGTATCAAAGTGGCCGGCAGACACACCAATAAGCTGGGAACTACCGCAGAGTAGGGTGACATCGACTTGTGTCTCATCGTCTAGCTCACCCTTTCGTCCACTTCTTTTTTGGGGATTCCTGGCCGTGATTGATAGACGCGGGAACCACGTTTCGTCTTTGTGGGATGAGAGTAAAAGAGAGAGTGTGTGTGAGAGAGAGGAAGAAGGCAAAGCAGGGTGGCGGCATGGCACCCGGCGGCTTCTCGATGCGATGAGCGTCGTTCCCGCACCCCCCATAAGAGATGAAGGCATCCCCCGCGCGTGCTGTGCCGCGAGGGCGGATATCTATCGGGCTGGTATCCGGAAATTCTCTCTCATTGCTTGTTGGTATCTGAAGCTAAGGCAGTAGAACAAACTGACTGGGCCCAATCGCATTACACACTTTGAAGAGCAGAAACACATTTCGCCCATCATGCCTGGCGCTGGCTCAAGAGGCATTAGCCTCTTAGTATGGATTGTTGTCTTTACCGTTGTCGATGCCTCGTTTTTATGTCTGCGAGCTTGGTCAGCGAGGGTGATGAGAAGATCATTCTACTGGGATGATGGAATGATCATCTTTGCATTTGTAAGTCCATCACTCCTGTCTTGTTTCATACACCACTAACCATAGCAGGCCAACATTGTTGCGCTAGAAGGTGTTGTCATATGGGCCATTTACAATGGCTTGGGCAAACACACTAATGAGTTGACTCTGGATGAGTATGCTGTTCAGTTCAAGGTAAGTTAGACATCTCGTCCCATCGACTGACTTCACATCCCTAACACTTGCTTTCTCACAGCTCATCCTCGCCAGTGGTGTTACATGGCTCCTGGGAACCGTCTTCATCAAGATGGCCATCCTGTGGCTGTACACTAGAATCTTTTCCACGGCAAAGTTCAAGCGCTGGTCGCATATACTCATGGGAGTGACGGGCGCCTACGGTGTCGCGTTCCTTATTCTCTTTATGAGTAGATGCACGCCCATGTCTCAGCAATGGGCGCCAGTCGAAGGTGGCCACTGCCGCGATATTACCGTTGACCAGCTCGTCTCGGTGACCATAAACATTGTCGTCGATATCGCCATGACCGCACTGCCGATGCCGGCGCTCTGGGGTCTTCAGATGCCCCTTAGAAACAAGATCGCCGTCAGCGCCATGTTTGGCATGGGTTTTGCGTAAGTTTTCTCCTTCTTCTTCTCTTCTCTCTACCATAGACCGAGGCAGTAGCTAACTTTAACATCCCAGAACAATCGCAATCATGATTTGGCGTCTAGTCAACACGGTCACGACCATCGGCGACCTCGACTTCGTCTACAATCTGCACGACATTGGCCTCGTCAGTCTCCTCGAGCTCTGGATCGGTATCATCATCGCCTGCCTGCCGACCTTGGGCCCCCTCTTCAAAACCTACGTCAAGCCAGCTGTCTCGAAGTTCGGCTCCAAGCTGACGAACCCTTCAACGGACAAGGGCGGCCAGATCAACCTCAAGGACCTGACGAGTAGCAGCGGCGGCCACAGCATCCGCCACCCCCGTCGGACGTACGACAAGCTGGGCGACAATACCTCCGTTGTGGACCTCGAGCGTGCAGAGCTGACGACAAAGTGTCAGTTCTCCCCGGGAGCCGAGGCGCCCAGGGGCAGCAGACCGGTCATCTACGTTCATCAGGACATTGCGTCGCAGGAGACTTGGAAGCGAGGGGCGCAGGCTTGAGTTCGGAGACTGGGATCGGGTATTAGGGAAGGGGACGGGGAGTTACGGCCGATGGATGAAAT